ATATACATATATATATAATTATATCTATTAAAGAGGTATACCAACATACATACCAACATTATTTATTTTTTCATAGACTGATTTGCAGTTAACCTTTTTTTATTACAATAAAATTTGCTCTATAAACTCAACAAATTCAATTAATTTAACTCAAGCAATACAAGACAGCGTTGAGTTGTCATAAATCATAAAGATTCTAGATGGTTATGTCTATCTCATTTTTCGGTCCTAGTGAAACTAACTCGAACTTGAATTATCGTAAACACCCTATATTATTATATTATATATAATATTTAGCTTATGGGAAAAATTTTCTCTTTTATTTGCAATATTTCATTCTTCGTGTTGGCAATTTTGTAACCGTTGGTTAAAGTTAACCAACGTTGAAAAAAGTGGCCCTAAACGACTCGACGACTGGACACATCAAAGTTTAGTTCCGAATATATTTTAAACGTTCGGAGCACCGCGTGCCCTGTAGCAAAATGTCCGTTACCCGCTTGAATTTAATCCACGTGCTCCGATTGGCGTAACTCCGACTGTAGTAAAATGTATGTTAGGAATACGAATAAATCACTGTATTAACAATATGAAAAATGGTTTTTATCACAAAGTACCGAATACACTTAATATTGAGTAACCGCCCGCGAGACTAGATATAATTTACCGACGACTCTATTGTTAATGTGTTTCTTTTTAAATGGTGTCACCAGTAGGCCAATTCCACTAAATTTTAGTGGAATAGGCCTATTGGGGACACCACTTAAAAAAAAAACATATTCACAATAGTACCTCAAGGGTAATGTGGAAAGCTATTTATTTCTAATTAGAAAACTATAAAATTTTTATTAAAAAGTTTAATTTTATAATAATTTGATTTATTTTAATCATTTTTATTTTTTAAATATTATATATTATTGTCTAGGTAAATTATTATAATAAATATAATAAAGATATTTAATTATAATTAATGAAAATAAATATTATTTCTATAACAAAGAAAATTTTATTTTCTGAAAGGTGCCCGCTCATCATCAGTTTATTTATTACACAGACGCTCCTGAGTCAAGGCTATCGGCGGCTCGGCCGCCAATGGCCGCGCGGTAGTGGGAGAGCGGGAGGCATCGTCTCAAGAATCGAGCCGAAATGTGTAATTAACGCCGAGCTCTGGTTTAAAACAATCGATATGTCTTATGTGTTGATTTACTTGTTTAATTTTAGAAATGTGAACATTCCATTGCAGTTTTATATAATATAAGTGTAAACCTTTAAAATACAACAAATATTCGAACTCGTATTAAAAGCTTTGCATTCTAACACACACGAAAAATGGAGACATCTAATTCTACAGCCGGCAAAACTTCGTCGAATAACAATACCACGCGTGGTGAGAAAGTAAGTGCATTATAGCAAGTCATTTTATAAAATTAATTTTATACCGAAATTAATTCGTTTGGTGAAAAACTGTTTGCAGAGGAGTACGCGAGGTTCGAGGCAAAAAGCTGTAGATACATTAAGCAAAAAATTTCTCAGAAACTTTGACCCTGAACACAGTGAACGAGAGAAACGTAAGCTGTATCGTCGATTATATCACAGCCACAGAAAGCATCTGTATGATGAGAAAGGTATTTTCATACAATCATCAGATGATCTTTGCGATTGCTTGAGCTCAGAGTGTCCTGGATGTCACTTTCCATGTCCTAAGTGCTCTTCCCAAAAATGTGGTCATGAATGCAGGTATTTTTAATGAGAATTTCCGTATCGAATAAAAATCTGATCCATTTTATTGTGAAGTCATTAATTTGAGTTGTAACTTTCTCAGAAATAATCGCAAATGGACTTACGACTCCATTCTCTGCGAAGGCACTGATTCAGTGATTAAAAATCCAGTATTAAAAGAACCTGAAAAATGAAAACAAGATGTAACAATAGGTATGAATATAGTCTGTAAATATCTGTACATAAAATATTCTCAAATAATGTTGAACCCTTTTATCACTTTTACAAAGTTTTATGTAACAAATAAAAAGAAGTTTAATAAACTTAAAACGTTATCTACAAAAAAAGAAAATGTGTTTTTATATAACTATGCGCCTTATATTCTTAAGTAGTGCGTCACAGTTGTATTTATTTTATATTATTTCATCGAGTAACACATGATTGCAACTGGGATTGTTCTATGCACAGGGGATGGCGATCGATATAATTTTGCAAATTCAACTTAGCTAAATGATAATCTCCACATAATAATTGGTGTAAATTTCACTTTTGTATATCTTCAGTACTAGAAATTAACCTTATTAAAATTGTAACGTTCTCCATCTCGGGGTGCACAATCTTCCAGTCACATCACTGTGCCGCACGCACGCCACCCTCATGAAACCGCTATTGATTTTCCGAACTGTGCAAAGGTGGCAGCAGTGTGCAAGGATTGTGGCACGCATTCACATATGTATGTACGCGGAGAGCGCGCGCTTCGTTTTTATCCGTGAAATCGTCCAAGTCTGCGCGGCCTAAGAAAAAACGAGAAAAAACGAGCGAGGGAAACACAGTCATGTTAATCGGGAAATAGTCGCGGGAGCGACTTCGTTAATTCGACGCGTAAATGTGATAAAGTCCGACTGCCGTCGGCGGGCCAATTTAGCAATCGCACTTGGCATTTCACTTGTTACAAAAGGTAACCGCAATCACGACGGGCGGAACGCACTTCAGGGGGTTGACGTTCAGGAGGCGCGCAGTGCTAGTCCGCCGCAATCCGCAAAAAAACACGTAAACGGGACGAAACCCGTCGTTATCATCATCGTTATCGTTCGTCCGTGTGTAGCAGCCGCGCATTCACCGCCAGGGTGGCAAATGGTGGCAAACGCACGCACGTATATATAGCGCGACGAACGCGGGTGACAACGCGCGAATAACAGCGGTAACAGCGGCAGTCGCAAAGAAGCAAATCGGTTCCTGCGTCGTCGTTGATCGCGGCCCGAGTGCGACCTCGCGATCGAACGAGGACCTGTCCGAAATCGAAGAGGGAAGCCTCGAGGTATTCATCGCTCGTACGGAGCAGCAGGTTCGTGTTTTCGAGTACTTTTCGTTCGCCCTTCGCCCTACGCTCTCATCCTCGCGATGAAACATCCTCGTGACGTCCTCGAGTGCCGTAATCGTAAGCTTCATCAAATGCGACGAATGTCGCGCTATGTCGATAGGACGGTAATAATTCGGGGGGTTAATCATCGCCTTGCTTGCCCCACTGGGTCTGTTCTTCTTGACTGCACATTTGTTTTTTTATTTTCTCCGATTTAAGTGCGAGGATACGCTTGCTCTAATTCAACAGAAAGTGCACAGTGCGGCTGAAAAAAATAGAATCATCTCAAGTATGTGCGATATGCATGAGTTTTTCGATATTGTAGCTTTAATCAGAATTTAAATCGTTATTTTCGGCCTAAAAGGAATGAATTGCGACAACTGTCAAGTTGACATCGTCGCGTCTCGACATATCACGTTCGACAAGTCTCGATTTGCAAAGAATGATATTCAGATCTTCGCGCGTGTGTGTGTGTTGTGTGAATGTCTGTTATTAAAAGTAGTTCATGACACGTCTTGCCAATGAAGATGTGTGCGGTATAAAATTGACCGGTCGCTTGTGAAATATTCGCCGTGCATTGTAATACAATATTACGAGATTGCGTGATTCGAATTGTGATGAAAATTTCAGGGATAGAATTCAACGAGGTCGATCAGAATAATTGTGACACAGGGGTAAATATGGCATCACAATATTTTCCTACGACATATACTGATAATCGCGCTCTAACGATATCAATTCACGGTATCCAGTAGAAATCACATTAAGCATCGGTTGAATCGCGCAATCATTAGTTTCTCCACAGGAGAATATTTCAGTCTGTCTCGCTCTGTCTTGTTGCAATTACCCTAATCGATTCTATAATTTGGCAAATTGCACGAAAATGCTTTGATCTTTATGTTTGTTTTGCCAACGCAAACATGACGATTGAAGAGATAAAATGTATTTAATTTATACGTATACGACATCGAAATTATACAATAATTAGTTTGAAAATTCTTATTTCGTTTTTAAATCGTTTGCATTACGTTATTATTACGTTTCTCTAATTAAATATTGAAATTTTAATTATTACATATTAAATCTGTTTATTTCAGTAGTATCTTCTATGCTTCGTGTCTTTTTGCTTTTTTAAGGCTCAAGAAGTCTGCTAAGACAAATGAAATCTGCTTTCATTCAGTCAGTTTTATAGATCTTTCTTAGCTGCGTTATAAAAAGAATATATTTAAGATAAAATAAACATATTCAAATCTTGAAAAAAGACGAGCTTTAGGAAGATATAGAAGATGCAAATAAAACAATCAGATTTTTCGCGGACGTGACGGTATACATGGCTGCATCCGATGCACTGATTGCACGAAAGCAAAAGATCTGTTAATCGCGTTATATCACACTTGTTACATTTGGAATAGAGCAACTATATATCTGACGAATATATAAATATAAACGTACAAATTTAGAAAGAGGAGAAAGGAAATTTGTGGATAGATAGAGAAAATGCAGATAACAAGAACAGACCCGCATAAGGGAGGGGAGGACACACACGGCAGAATGCGGCTTCGTGAGTGTCGTCATCGAGGAGTATACGTCACGAGATACGGACGGATGTAACCTTTCGTGGGTTCAGATTATTAACCGCGTGGGCGAAGCGCGGAGCGGAGGCTATGGCGTACGCGTTTATATGCGGTGTCGCGAAATCACCGATGTCCTTTCTATCGGATCTCTTGACTGATTTGATCCTACTTTAATAAAAATGTGGAGGCATTTGTAATTTGTGAATCAAGTTTAAAACAAGATCACGTTATTTGTTTCATTAATTTCAGATAAATTTTATTTTCAGATTAGTTGAGAATTTATTTGTCGATTGGTTACGAAGATATGCGATATTAAAAAGTACAAAATTGAAATATTATCTACAAATCGACCGATTGAAAGGACGTTGGAGGTGATTCCGAGCCACCCAGTACAGTTTGCGCGTCGTGCGACAGGTCGGGCGGTGATCGAGGGTTGTGAGGAGGGTTCGGAGAGTGATCGTCCCGCACTCTCGCCCCCTCGTCGTCTCTCCTTACTCTCCACGCGCGCAAGGGACCCCGAGCGCCGGGGGTTTACGTCGCCGGGACGGCAGATGTCAGGATGCCGGAGCAGAGCAACGACTATCGCGTGGTCGTGTTCGGGGCGGGCGGCGTTGGCAAGAGTTCCCTCGTGTTGCGCTTCGTGAAAGGATCTTTCCGTGAGTCCTACATACCGACCATCGAGGATACTTATAGACAGGTAAGTAAATTCGGCCGCAACCGCGACGCCGGCGGTGGCTGCACCAATCTCCTAAAAATGTGCACCTCTTTGATCTGTTTTTCTCAAACGAACGGCACTCGTAGCCGGCAAAAACCGCACGTTTATCATGATTTCTACGATGATAAGTAATTTAATTAATCAGAGATAATGATCATTTGCTATCGCGATGATAAACTTACAATTAGTTAAAGTTCGTTAAAGTTTAGCTGATTCCTTTTCAAAGAGAGAATAAGGATATAAAATAGATTAAAATTAATTACATTAAATTATATTCTTTTAAATGTAGAAGTAAAATAAAATTGCTTATAACGTTATTGCGATAATTGTATGCAAGATACTAATTTAACGCATATAAATTATTTATACCAGTTTTGATTTCCGGAAAAATTAAGCAATTGTCTTTGCTATTTATCAAATTCCACCGTGAATAGATTGTGCTAAACGTGGCTTTATGCGGCATCGGGTGCTACGTAGATAGCAATTTCCGCGCAAACCGAGATTTAATGATTAATCGAATGTCCTCGTGTCCTGCACGCGCGCACGCATTCGCCGGGATTGCGATAACTTTGTCATTTATGAATTTAATATTCTGACTCGTGTATCCAGCCAATAATATGGAAGTGACGCGCGCGAATCAAAACATAAAATTTACAAATGACTTGCAGCTGTAGCATCGAGGGTATCTGGGTAGTAAAATAGAATTAATAGCAATGACATATGCTAATCGGCAAATATATGCTCAAAGCAATATATCGTATATCACAACAGTTTTGTTATGCCGCAAAGAAGTATCGTATACGAAATTAATTAAATATTACATCATGTAGCGCATGTTGAGGCAATGATAGGATATTTAATTATCGCATAAACTCTGCATAGACGTTATTTATGGAAAATTGAGATTTTCTTTGTGTAATCCAATTCTCAAATAACGCAGATGTAAATTATACGTGAAGCTTTAATTATCTAGCTCTGAAATAACGTGATTACGGTAATGACTCAATTAGAATCAGAATATATCGCTGTACAATTTCCGCGCAAATATTTTGCTAACAATTTCGCGCGTAGCCATTGATTCTACGCATATATATATATATATATGTTCTTATAAATTTTTACACACATACGCTCCTATGTGTGCGTTTGTATGACGCAACAACGCATTGACGATACTGGTGGGACTTTCGCTGTGTGCGCGACGAGAAGTGTTATCAATGGAATCGCGCGGGACTCGAATATTCCGACGACTCGACCTGATTCGATTTCGAATCTGATTTGACTCGATTTGGCTCGAATCGAGTCAGATCGTAATTGAAAATCGGATCAAGCCGAGTTACGATCGGATCGGGCCCCGGTCGCGGGATACAATCAAAGGACCGTGTGTACGGTATTTCAGGTGATAAGTTGCGACAAAAACATATGCACACTTCAAATTACGGACACAACGGGGTCCCATCAGTTTCCCGCTATGCAGCGACTCTCCATAAGCAAGGGTCACGCCTTCATCTTGGTGTACTCGGTCTGCTCACGGCAAAGTCTCGAGGAGCTACGACCGATCTGGGCCGTGATAAGGGAGCTCAAGGGCCAGGATATTTCGCAGATACCCATTATGTTGGTAAGGACACGCCGTAACCCTCGTCCCTTCATTAATTCCGGCTTTGAGTTTTTGGCTTTCGATATGAAGACATCGTAAAACTCTTCTGCTTTTTGTATTTATACTCTATGGAATTATCGTGCAATTTGTTTCCGTAATATTATTTCACGCATACGTCTTCAATTTGATAAAAAAAACTTGCTAAACGTAAAAGTTTTAACAATACGTAACACTCATGATCTTTGCGATGTGTCTGCATTCTAAATTTTGCGCTTCAATTATTCTTAACGAATTGAAAAACAATTTACTTATCGATGGTTTAGCGCTTTAGTCGTTTTAAGCGCGACGATTAATGCGATAAAGTCGAATCTTTCAGATGTTAAAAGGGCGTTAAAACTTAAAGAACCCGTTGTTTCCTTTCTTTGCTGAAAATTTCATCTAAAAGCTTGGGGGGGAAAAAATTTAGAAAGACAGTCAGTAGTACGTTATAAATTAATATTCAATTTTTATGAAATTAATTTAGTTAAATTTTAATTTGCAAAAAAACGAATCTTTATTCCCGCATGAAACAGTTGTTTTTAATTTTTTTTGCTTTCGAAAATTTGGTGTCGTTTCCTTTTAATATCGTGCGACTCAGCGATTGCATCGCATTACATCCACGTCCAGGTCGGGAATAAATGCGATGAGAGCCCGTCGGTCCGCGAGGTGTCGATGAGCGAGGGCGCGGCCGAGGCGGCTAATTGGGGCTGCGGCTTTCTGGAGACCTCGGCCAAGACGAACCACAATGTGGACGCTCTGTTCCGGGACCTGCTCACCCTCGAGAAGAACCGCTCGGTGTCGTTACAGCCGGTGCAGAGCAACAACGCGATAAGACTCAAGGAGAAGTGTGCCGTGATGTAAAGTCCGCCAGCGGATTACCGCACCGCGATCGACGACACCGTGCGATAACCATACCGGCGCGATTATCGGCGAAGCTCGCGTTTCCGGTATATACCATTCCCTTGGCTCGGTTATTCTTCGAGATAAGGGCCTCGCCGATTCACTAATAATCCTAAACTAGTTTCGCCAACGACGGACGACTTATGCGCGACTTGAATCCTCATAACTTTCGCCTGTCGAGACGTTTAACGTGTTAAAGTTTACCGTACAACGTGTCGTATTTGTTACGTTTGTTTAAATACGCGATACTAGGAGCGAAAATATCTCTGAGACTTCGAGAATTGTAGAAATAATTTTCTAAGATTCTTAAGAAAGGTTTAGAATTTTAGATTCCAAATAATTGGGTAACTTTAACGGGTTAATTCGTCTGACGTGAGGAAGATGAGTATTTTTTTATTCGACGAACAAAAGGATTATTCGAACTCGTATGTGCGTTGCTCGTCGATGGTGAAACCTTTATACCTTGATACTTTACGCAGTAGACCGCTCGACCGCGTATGATTTCTCTGTGCTCGATAATGATAAATTACTCGAGTTTCCGCTCTTGTTTTTCTTGACTCTGCCGTGGGATCGTCTGCGGTAATCTCGATCTGCGATGTGCGTTGGCAAAAGCGACGATATCGTTTTCATCGAGAATAGTTGCGTGTTTCTCAGCTGCTGACACGGAAAGCCTGGTGTTAATTGTAATAATTTCAAACACTGTAAATCGATCATTGCAGTGTATCATCGTAAGTAAATAAGACGTAATATTGAAATTCTGATATTTTACAGGAACAGAATTAATTTTTATAGAAAAGATTTACTTCGTGTAAATTGCGAAAAGAATTCAACTACTTATGTACCGCAATGACGTATTTTTTAAGAAACTTTTCATAAACGTTATATTTTTTTATTCTAAATATTTAATTAATATTTCTTACAGATAAATAAGTGTATGTGAGATTGCCTCAGTAATAACAATAGCAACGATAATATAAAAGAAGTCATAATTGATAATTAATTCTTCGAAGTGTAGATAGCTCGAATTATCGCGATTGTTATTAATCGCTTCTTGTTATAATTAACTTCAAGCTCTCTAATAATAGCGGCGGATAATTAGTAATTTCAATAATCTCTCGTTTGTACGTAGCGCCGAAAAGACCCCGACGGTTAGCATCGTGTTACAAACACTCGCGAAGCTAATCTCGAGCTTAGCCGAGCCGATTATCAGTATAATCGCAGGCAAGATTGTTGCTCTCTGTTCTCAGTTTTCGCTCGAGCACATCGTGATTGCCAAGATCGTTTCTTTTGCACACGCGACAAACAATGAATTATCATGGGAGATCAAGGAATATAAAGTGCACATATTTGTTTGCGGATTTTATCGCTCGAATATTCTCCGGCAGATTGCTTGCAATCGAGACGGTCTACGACAAAGGGCAGCTGTATAGCGCGCTCTTTCTGAAGATTGACTTATTGGATCCATTATGTAAAATATATGTCAACACAATCAGTTATACTGAATGTGAAAAGCGTTGAGAATATACGGTTTCAATACATAATACTTATTCGAAAAATGTTAGATGTATAATAAATTCAGGAAAATACTTTTTTTTTTCTCGAATAAGGTTTTGAAGAATATAAAAATAAAAAAATATTTATCAAACTGAAACATAATAAAAATATATATAAACTGGATATAAATATAAATAGATGAAGTGAATAAAATATATCGAGTTCTTAAGCTGTTAAAAAATATACTGCATGTGAAGAACGAATCTAGAAATAAATTAATACAGAAGATAGATTCTCTCTGTAAAATATGTAAAAATTTAAATCTTAAGGGAAAAACGTTAAAAGGAATCTATTCTAGCGATTCTACATGGTCTTTTCCCGTAGACCGCCTCAATTTAACGACATGCTAAATCGATAATAACTGCGACGACCCTTCCATGAAAATTCCGCAATGCTCCGCAATCCGAGACTACCGCACGACGATTAGGGTACTGGTGTAATGAGCGCGCGCGTGAAAGTTTTTTTTTTCGCGAGGATGACAGAAGAGAGTGTGAGATCGAATGAGAGAAAGAGAGAGAGAGAGAGAGAGAGAGAGAGAGAGAGAGAAATAAAGAGAAAACGTGCAAACGATGACGAAAAACAAGTAGATAAGAGTTGTTACAAGATTGGTTTTTGTTGAATAGTTGTAAGAATTTTGTAATGACTACGCTAATTAGGATTATAAACGAACAGCAACAAGACACACCACAGAACCAGATACACGGTATACACACACATACAAATGCAAGCATTGGCATTGATATATGCATATATCATTGTGCAAATTTACACACACATAAACACACACACACGCGCGCATACACAAGCACAGATTTGTTGGCGGTCGCATCGCGAGAGATTATGAGATTGTAATTAACATTACATGCGATTACAACACACGTTTTCCGTATCGACGCAACATTTTTAATGGTTTTTCCACGGGACGTAGGTCACATCCGAGACGTCATTAGGTGTTCCCACGGAAAATTTTCCGACGAATATAGATAGTTAGTTGGTATAATTAATACATTATACTGTCTCTCCACACCCTCCTTCCGCCCCCTTTTCCCGTTTGCAGCAAATCGTTGAACGTATCCGTAGTTTTCCCCGTGACTCGCGTATCGTGTAGCTTCCCTTATCATCGCGTTTACGGATGTACCACAGTAAAAGAGAGAGAGAGAGAGAGAGAGAGAGAGAGAAGAGAAGAGAAAAAGAGAGACGGGAGCTTCTTCCTCTTCAATGTTCCTCGGCCCCATCGTAACGCCGTCGCGTCGCCGGGCGTCGTTGCGATCGATGCAACACACGTCGCACCGAGGCTAACGATGATGTTGATAATGACGATGATGATCCACCGTTTGCACTTAAACGTGTCTCGACTAGCTGTGAAGGGCCGTATTTATAGTCGTTAATACTCGAACAATGTCTCGAGAGTGTATCGAGTGATGTGCATGCTCTCGTAATGGACCTAAATCGAGTTGAAATTTATATCACGTGTCTTCGGAATAATATCGTCATGAGTACATATTGTTTAGATAGTTAACAATTTTTTTTAAGATACGACCAACTGTTTTCCAAAATATCTGCAAGATAGAAATTCTTTGCTACTGTCATCTGATTTTACCTCGTTATTTATTATTCTACGTTTATTATCTTATTACCAACTTTTTTACGTACTTTTTATTTCAAATAAATTCCTATTTAATTATTATTCTTACTCTACTCATTACATTTGCTTTATTTTTAAATATAAATAAAATGTAGATAAAATTATATCCATTTTTGCTATAAATACGGTCATCAAAAACCGTGACATCGTCGGACAGATAATGGCGCAAGGTAGCTAATCGATGATCAGATTCGAAATTGGAGAGCATCCTCTTTGAATAAGTCGACAATACACTCCCAACTAGGCCGGAGCGTCAGCTGTTGGCAACGTCAATGCCATCAATTATAGCCATCATTGATGCGTCGAGACTAGAGATGGCTATTGAGAGGAAGGTATCGATGCCACGAGGAATATTATTATAAGTATGGATGAGTATCATTTATACGACCATAGAAATTAATTATAGATATTATTAAGAATTAACAAGAGTGCAATTTTTATTTCTAAAAATATGACTTGATAATTACGAGCAAAAAAAAGTGCAAATAAATTGAACTTTTATGTTAGAGAACATAAATTTATAAATAACTTTTAGAAAATATCACAAAATAATTAAAAATAAAAACTGTATTCAGTAAAAGTTCAAGGTATCGATACTACGATTACTAGTCATATCTAGTCGCAAACACGCTACACAAAGATCTAGCACTGTTTTCTAGTACGAAACAATTCCAAATTTTATATTAACGTCGCCGTTTATTATTTATTTTATCTCACACATTGCTGTTAGGATATAATCTATTTTAAGCATGATAATTTATCATGCCAAATCAAAATATTTATTCAGTGATCACGTGGAATCGAAAAGAGTTTGCTGTGACGAAAAAATCTGAAATTTAGCCACTTTCTTCACAACGAACAGACACGTGGCTTTAAATTATATCAAAGTACTAAATCACAAAAGCTCTTCCTATAAAGAGGGTTTTCCTGTGAAATTCAATTTCCCAATTTAAATTTTTTTTTAACAAATAAGGTTTCTTGAACAAACTCACTGATGCTTCCGATTCACAAACATTCTTAAGCTCAATTTTAGCCGTTTATTATTGATATATATGCATATAATTTATATATATATTTATATATGTCTACAACAGTTATGAAACAAAGCGTTCTAAATAAAAGATTTCAAAAACTTGGAATGTTTTCACGCTACGGAATTAGTCTAGACTGTGCTCATCTCACCGTTTTGCATATTTATCACAGACGGACTCGATTATCCAACGAATTACACATACAGTCCAACGCTTCATTCTGCGGCGCTCCGTGCTCAACTCTCTCCCGCGGAAAAGAAAACGAATTCATGGATGAGAATTAATTCCATTGAGATTGCGAATTCCTTCGTGGAAAACCGCAGATTGACTTTAAATGCGCGGCATTCGATTTCGCGAAAGTGAATTCCCATGACTCGCAAGTGAATTTCCATGATTCGTTTTGATTCACCCAATTTTCATCCCGTCTCTACCGCTATCCAGCCCCCCCCCCCCCCTTCTCGGCCATTCCAGACTATGGCTTGTATTTCCGACGGAAACGACAACAGCTTTAAGGGACGAATCCCTTCCCTTCTGTCGACCGTTAATTAATTAACGAAACCGAAACGTTCGTATCTCCTTGATATTACTACTGACGCGCGTTGAAACTCGTTCTCGTATGTGTATACGTTGTATACCATTTAATACATAGTTGTGTATCGCTATACTACGATTATTAGGCGTGCTTCACTTCGCTTCATCTAGATAATTATCGCCATTATCGTTGTACGATAGTGCGTTTCCGCGCGATACCGTAAATCGAATATGGTAAACTGTTCCGGTTACTACGTTCGATGTTTTTTCGGCGCTACGTTGATCTCTCATCTTAATCATTATCGTTTATCGTTACCGCGCGACTCGACGCGACGCGATAATATTTACCGTATTCGAATGGCGCTGTCGCGCCGATGTTGTATAATTTTGCGCCCGCGCGAAGGAAAAGGAGTTTAGAGCGCTACCCTTTCCCGAATTTTCTCGACGACAGAAAGGAACGGCAGTCCCTCGCGCCGATGTCGGCGCGACTCTTTTTTACGAGGATCTTGTTTATTAAATAATAATATGCCGTATAAACGTAGCGTGTAACGTGTTTAATAATGATCGTTAATAATCAGCCTGAGAGAGAGAAAACTCCTAAGTGTAAATTGTATATAAAATTTTCTATATTCAGATATCCCGATATATAAAATACGTACTTATTATTTTTATTATTATTGTTAATATAATAATTATTATTATTAGAGGAGTAATAGTTAGAAGTGGTTTCTTGCGGTCATGTCTCTCGATTTCAGCAACAAGACGAAAGGGAAACAGCACACATTCGCCGCTACTTTTTAAATCACTTGTTACCAGATTGGTCCCCGATCGATTACGCGCTACACGTAGTATTATCCCGTAATTATAGGGAGTACTATATAGTTATAGTAGAATAGGATATATTATATATTAAATATAAACACACACACACACACACACACGATATGCACATAGACACATACACACACACAGAGACATTGATTATACAAACGCGTATTCCGCAGACTTCGTCACAAAGGTCTACGTACGTACCATCGTCTTTATATAGGAAAAGTGCGAAAAAGTGTCGTTTTCTAATAGCTACGCTTAGCTGTTGAAAATGTTTTATCTGTTAGGTGAGGGAAATCGAGGGGGTATAAAAGTAGGCTAATCGCTGTTTTGAGATATATGTAGATCTAAGGAAACGCGACGGCTTCTTAATCGATTCTAACACTTTCTTGCAATTTTCTCACAGTAAAATTAGAGAGAAAAATAAATGAGAATGGATCGATGTAGATTTTTGCGACTAAGTAGGTAGGCTATATGTATATGCAGGGTGTCTCCTCCCAATTTCCGGACTACTGACTAACGTGGGATCGATTTTTCTTTAACTGAAAATATCGAGACACCAAACATAGATTTAGAACAGTAACGAAAGTGAGAAGATGGGCGTGAAATATAATTTATATCCTGTCGAATAAGAAGGAAGACAAAAAAAGGTAACATATATGTCGTATAAACGCTTGCACGGTAAATTCGATAATGGAACATTACCAAGAGAAACATAGCTAATAATTCCAACTTTCTTTAAAGACAAATCGACCGACAAACTTTCGCCGAAGTATTCACAGTCCAGCGGAAATCGTCTGAGACACTTTGTGTGTAGATATAATAGATTTAAATTCAATAGAATCGCGTCGAGGGCGAGACAGAGATATTACGAAATCGAGCTTCGAAAACAAGAAATAAAGGAAAGCGGAAGGGAAAGGAAAGCAAATTTATGAAGATTAGGTGAACATAGAAAATACGAACACGGTATTCTCTTAGTTTTTGGGGCCAATTGGTGTGACGAGAGAAAGAGAAAGAAAGAGAGAAAGAGAGAGACACATATGTGTCGTGTATATACACATAGAGATGTTGGGATGACTTCTCGCTGATTGTGAGTTTTATCTCTTTCGCAAAGTTTCCTATTTTTTTTTACGTACATTTGCAAAATTCTTATTCAAATTGGATTAACGAGCAACTATTTATTATAGAAAATTAAATCGTATTTTCTCAGAATAATTTATTTAGTAACTTACTAGAAATTTTTTTGCTTCTGTTTCTCGCAGTTTTTTAAATCAATTTTTGCTGGGTAAAATTAATTACACTAAAATTGAAATTTTTTGTTGTGCGAGGAGTAATCGAAGATCAAACACTATGCCGTGTAACGTACATAGAGATTATAGGAATTCTCTTACTGAGCATGACGATAAGGAGCGCGATTGGGAGCAGGTGAAACACATACACACACATACCGTATACACAGGCCAGGTAACAAAAAACGAAATACACAACGCATCGCGATCGCAATAGTAGCCGAAATATAAGAGTATAAGGATCTCGAGTGATATTACGCTTCGTTGACGTGACACAATGCGGTCTCAACGATATATCGAATCTGATGCTGCGTTACCGGGGAGTTTTGCAGTACGAATACTACGAATACGATAAACGCCAAAAAAGACTGTGAGTCTGTCGCGCATACAGCGACTCTTTTTATCTTTACATTAACATTATGAATTATTCTAAATACCGTAAAAGTCTCTAATTATTATAAATGATAATTATTATACATATGTATATTGATTTTTTATCTTATCGCTTATTAGGTATCGTATCAGTAAAAGTGAAGTGATTGCTCTTAGCGGAAAACAGAAGAATAAGAGGCACAAGCAGTCACAAACTTTTTCAATTTTCGCTTTTAGTGCAAAGTGTTTGCTTTTATACCGTCAAGTAGTTACGCTTGTGGTGAGGCTGTTGTTAATGAATTTATCAAATTTACTTCATTTTATTTATACGATCCACGACGATTTGACTCGACATTAACGTTTAGCGTATTTCCATGTTATTGCAAAAAATCTCCATTATCAGCGTGATACTTAAATACGTACTTCCAAATGAAAAATCCGGCCCGAAGCGTCGTTCGACAAGTATGTTGCGCATTATATGTCGCCGTGTATTATATGTACAGCGGACTCCTCCTAAATTCTCTTCGCACAAATAACAAAGTAACGACGACAAAGTAGTGTAACTTACGACGGACCATATCAATGAATCATATCAGCAACCAAAAAAAAAAAAAGCAAAAAAGAAAAAGGGATATCCTCGATTGTGTGAGCCCGAGGCGAGAGAGACGATGAGTTTTTAAAGTTGTGCTTTCAAATGCAACGAGTTCTCCTGTACAAAAGTATCGCCAATTGTGAGCGGTCGTTCCTGCTGCTAACTTGCGTTATATACTGTCGAGGGAAATTCGTACTCATAACCATATGATGGTTAATTACCAAATTAACAGTACTTCACGAGACAATTTTGGGAGCATTATAAAACTCTAAGAAATGCAGAAACCTGTTCAGATTTTTAAAAACGTATTTTTTACGATACAAATTAGATTGATTTAATATAGAAGGAATTTTTCGAATTAAGGTTTATACTTTTGACATTAAAATTCCGTCATTCACATATCGCAAAGTGTTGTCTCACTTGTAAAATTATGTAGCAACTTGTTTGCAAGAGTACGAATTCGCCTCGACGCACGTTTGCTTAGGCTTAAGCTTGCCGTAAGTGATGATTTGTTGAAGCAACTTCTATTAATCTCCGTTAATTGTGCGACGAAACGACATACAACGCTTTATTGCGAATTACTTCCCGCAAATCTAATGTATAAAACCGAAATGTGCGAACTAGTAAAAATAATAGACACGAAGATGTAAATGAAGAGCACGAAGGAGTAGAGAGGAAAGTTGCGTGTGGAAGAAATTTCGATAATTAAGAGCACTCGACGAAACCTTTCGAACTTGGAGATGCTGAACTAAATGACAGCTACGACTATGAAATATAGTTAATGTTATCAATTTTGACATTATTTCTGTAAAATTTGTAGTGAATATTTGCCGAACATAAAAATATTTTTAACTATTTTGTTCCGATAGTGATTCTTTTTAATGCAAAGCTAAGAAATATCTAAACTCCATTGCTTCTCATATCTCTCTTATTAAGTATTAATATTTGTTTAATTAAAGATTGAAATGTCAAATTTATTCCAAATCCATATTCTACTTTAAAATCATCTCCATGGCGACTCTTAATTTCTTCGTATCGATTCTGAGACATCATTGAGATCAGAACCCCGAAGTTCAAAAGGTTTTTAGCTGCCAAGCTGGAAATAGCGGTGCGTTCGGCTTGAAAAGTTTAGATTTGAAAAGTTCTTTTACGCGTTAAGGATACACGTGAACGCACGCGAGGGCGAGGCGAAGGAGAAAATCGCGCGTCCTCCACTCTCTATACACGTTAAATATACACGTTCCACACAATTATTGCGAGAGTGCACATAGAGAATGGCGCAAAGGGTGTCTAATTATCTATTTAAATAAGCGACCAATACACGCTGGAATAAATAGGCTTGTTATTGCGACAAATTTGCTCATTCATTATCAACCGAAGAATCGTTAACCAGCTACGAATCTGTACTCGTGAGAATTAAACGATCTTGATTCTTGGCAAAATGCTTGTTTCTGTCGAATTATTCTGCCACATTTGTTCTTCCTTGTCACTCGATTCCTGTGAAAAGATGTATTACTTTGATGTGACTTATGCAATCTTTATTATGTTTGAAATTTTTTATTTCATATTGCAAGATACAAACTAATACCTATCTATTTGTAAAATTTTATTGTTTTATAAAGCTAACAGTCAAACACAATTTCATAAAATTTGTCATAATTTTGTGATTTTAAGAGCAGGAATTGTATTTTCAATACAAATGTTTACTGTTTGAAGAAATAATATTAACTAGATAATTTGACAACATTAACTCTTAATAAATCAATTTGTATTTTTCGCTAGCATTTTAGTTGCTAACTTTTCTTAATGAGAATAGAGATATCCGTGGAAGAATTTGAAACAAAATACATTACAAGTGAAGTTTTATGCAGGATATATAATTACAAGTTAAATACAGCAGTCTAACAATTCACTTTTAAAAAAATTATGAAATTAATTAACAGTTTATTTTTGTGAAACTGCGTTTACTTCTATTTAAAAATGTTTACTTGGCTTTGATTCATACGACCCATTAATTTGCGGTGTCGCTTGTCTCCGTATCTCCGACGATGGTAACATGGAAAAATAAGATAAAATCATACACTAGCGAGTATCCGCGATATTCGAGTACGATACCCTACAATGTGAGGTATCACGTCTCGCGGTAGGAGTGGCGACAGGAGCAAACACGACGGAACCAATCGCCGAGAAAGGGTGGTCCAGCCGGTGTTTGTCTTCTGGACCCTCCTCCACCCTGAGGATGCTGCGGAATCGTGTGGAAGAGCCTAAACATCGTGTATATCCGTACATCCGCGGCCAATCAAACCGAACCGTCGCCAAGTCGAAAGCCAAACGAAATCTTGTCGACGATTAGATCCGCTCCCTTTTCGCGCAGTTCCGAATTAACAATCGCCAAGAACTCGTGAACGCGAAAACGTAACACCTAAAGCGTCACCGCTCTCTTTGTAATATTCTTTTAAATTCTGATGCGCACTTTTAGAAAGTTCGGTTTTCGACCAGTTATATTATCGGCGGTCCACCACAAAGCTATTACATAAGAATTGCACTAGTCAGAAATGAATGTTATATAATATGTTGAGGTTTATATAAAATTAATTTATAAAAACTCCACACGCACACACAGAACAGTCAATAATAAAATAACCACTAGTACATTTATTATTTATTATAATTATATGTGTCTAATTATTATATTGTTTGTGATTATTCTTTATATGTATGATTTACTTGTCAATTTCTAATATTTGTCTATCTCAAGAAACTTTTTATATGTGTACCAGCAATTTCAAAAAGATTGACACAGGTAATCGTTTGAATACTCTTTGGCAAAAAGAGTGTGCGGGTAAATAAATAATTGTAGAATTTTTACTTATTTAAGGAGATATGTGTGATACTATTTGAATGGTTAAATAAGAAAAAAGAGAGGACCGAGGTTCGATTTGCATCGATTTTGCCACTATGCTTCGCGGCAAGAGCAAGAGCAAGTTGGAGAACAATGAGAACAACGAGAGAACGGACGGTAAACAGAGGAGACCGAAATGCGCTCGTTGCAGAAATCATGGTCTGATTTCGTGGTTACGGGGCCATAAACGAGAGTGTCGTTATCGGGAATGCCTGTGTCCGAAGTGTTCGCTAATCGCCGAACGGCAACGAGTGATGGCCGCACAGGTAAGCAATACGCAAATCTTTAATTTGTTAAACAATCTTCTAAGCAATTCTTTTCTGTCACGATAGAATATTTTTACGAATAATTTCCGAGTCCAATTTTTCCGTGAATCCTTTCTCGTGTAATTTTATTATGTGAATAATTGCGCTGTTCTTGCCGGGTTTTTACGGGTTTTTGCGCTAGTTTCACCATCAGAAAAGTGCAAAAATAGGATAAAATGTTAATCAAAATGTCAAATCTAAAATGACAATCATTCGCGAATGTAAATGTCACAAGTCCCGTCCCGTTTTCACTGTCACTAATTCAGTACGCGCGTGCTTATCTACGCGCTTTGAGCGTAAAGAAAATGTGAAAGAAAAATGTCAATTTATTGAACGCGCAGTTGAGTGTAATTAATGCGTCTTCTATGTTTTATTTCGCATGATTCACCCTCGGTATTTAAAGAGACGCTTGATCGGTACTCGTTATCGTCGCGTTGCGCGTGCCTTAATGAAAAGAGAGCTGCGTGTACAAAGTTCCTTTTTGTATAAAAAAACAAGGGATTAAATCGACGTTATAGATAATAATTTATTTAAAAAAAATAATAATACGCATTAAAATAAAATTCTGCAGAAGACGCAAAAAAAAGTTAAGACAGATTTCAAAGTTTTATTTTTAATTTCATAAATTTATTTTCCATTGGCGTTTTCCATTTATCGATTGCAACACGCGAATGTATAATTAATGTAATTCAAAACATCAAAGATTACACTTTGGAAGCTTGCTAGATCTCTAGTTATTATAACTGCGAACGGCCAAATCAAGTCATCAATCTCTCGAATTTCGGCAATATGGTCCACCCTATGCATAATGCATCCCACGACACAGCCGCTCATCTTCAAGAGGAAGATAGGAACAGCAGGGGCGAGATAAATTAAATCCATTAACGCTCCGTATAGCGTTTCATTTCTGTTTGCATAGGCATTATGACACTCGATACTTTGTTTGCGGCGTGACTTTCGATGCGGTGTTAACGCTCTCGCGCGCTACCCCCTGTATCTTTGAACAAAAATAGTCGGCAGAGCGAGAAACCCCGCACGATTGCGGTCAAACAAAACATACGTTTCTCGAGATCGTCCATCCGGCAATAATCGCCGGTGTACCGCGAGCAACCGCGTGGTTTTGCCGCGGAAACTTTTGCGCGGCGCGCCAACTCCGTAATCCGCGGTGATTAATACGGAACCGTCGGTGGTATTACTCGGAAATATTATCGGAATTACGCTTGCTGAATTCTACGCAAACGGCCACGCCATTAGGAAATTAATGTTCGTTACATTGCCTGTGGAAAATATTGCAAATTGTGACGCGAGCTTTAAAGCGCGGCTCGAATAAATTGGTAATAAAAATACCGATGCCAAAAATATATAAAAATAATATCACTTATGTCGTTAAATCCGTGTGACGCATTGAGATATTTCTGTAAGTAAAACTTTGTAACAAATGCTATTTGTAACAAGTGTAAAAAGAACATGTGGCGATATATTAACTCTGAAATCGGATACTTATCTCTTTCGGGTTTCAATGATCGAACGGGATCGAACGAAAAAATGGGATAAAGAAGCGGTTGGCTAATAGATTCTCTCGGCATCAGCCGATGTGAAAGATTATTGCGGGTGGTCCAGCTTGGAATAACACGCGGTAAATGCGCCCCTATACATAGGCGACGGGTCCATTTATAAGTCGAGCGCAGTCATGATCCATCATGATTCGATTGCTATGTATAAAAGTCTTTACATACGACATATGTGAAGACTTTTAAAAGTAAAAAAATATTTTACCATATTAATTATAGCATGAAACCACAAATCGATATCATGGACCACATTTTTATCCGCCCCAGCCTTTATGTGTGATTTCACTCTTCACTCAATCTCTGAAAAGAAAAAAGTAATTAGAATCTATTCTATTACATTCGTGCATAACTTGTCTATTGTTACATTGTAATTTACACTAATTAATATTTTTTATTATCAAGTTATCTTGCAGCATTGAAAATTTCTGCTCTACTTTTCTATTTTTGCAAAATTTTAAGAATAATATATTTTTAATCACTTATTGGACTTTATAAATACGACGGAGAATTTTAAATTTTAATTAAGACAGTTTTATTCTCTTCGGGTAGGTCGCTCTGAAGAGACAACAAGCGGCCGAGGATGCAATTGCTCTTAAAATGGCAAAGGTAGCGACCGGACAGAAGCTCGATCGACTTCCGCCGGGAAAGATCTTCGGAATGTCTGTGACGGAGCCGAAATCGACGGTGGATCAAAGCGAGGACGCAAATCTCGCTTCGAAGAAGGTCGATGGAACTTCGGAGGAGTCGAAGGATCTTCCGCGTCCGTCGACCAATGATGCTGTTCGTCTTCAAAACTGTTCCGTACGTATAACAAGAATTAAAAATCATTCATTGGTGTACATGTAATCACCGTTCTCCGTCCATATTTCTATCTTCCTTTCGCTTTCAGGACGGTCTGGAAACCTGTGCAAGATCCAGAAACCTCCTTTTCGACACCAGCAAGCTGGAAGGTTCCAAGGAATCCACTTCGGTGTCTCAAACCTCCGTGGAGACTCTAGCGCGTCTTTTCCCGAATACCAAGCTGTCGGTCTTGCAATTGGTGCTGCAACGTTGCGGTCAGGATTTGCTAAAGGCGATTGAGTACTTCGCAAGCGATAATCTGGGCATGGTCGAGTCGACGATATCATCTATTAGCCACACGCCTTCGGCCTTTCGACCTCCGCAAACCATCGTCGACAGCGGTGCCGGGGAGCAGCAGCAGCAATCGATCTCCGGCACGATGCTGGCACCGACGATCTACACCAGTCTGTCCAGAAACGTCTACGGCGACGCGGGATACTGTCTGCTGAATATCGTGCCGGCAACCGAACAGTTGGCCAAGGGAACTGATCTGCCGATCGCGAAAACCGCGGCTGAGCAGGAAGCCGTGGCTTTAAATTTTCGCTATAACAATTATTTCACTCCCGGCGTGCAGCAGCAACTGAGAGATGCGCATGTGTGCGCTCAAGTGGCAGCTGCTAGATCGGCAAGCATCTTACATCATCTGCCGCCTGCCGTACTGCCGGGTATTCCCTGCGTGCAACCGAATTGCGCGCAGTGTAATTATAAGTTCGCCTGAATATCTTTTCCTGGATGTACAACTATATATGCAATTGAAAAAAATCGCTGCAAGAGAGTCCCGTAATGCAGAAAATAAAAGCAAAGTTTGGTGTAAAGTTGAAAAAAAAATGAGTTAAAAGATTTCATTATTATCTTCTTCATTATATCCAAAAAGTCTGCTTTAATTAAAAATAATAGTTACATTAAAATGAAAAAAAAAAGAAAAGACTTATCGCTGAGGATAAAAAAAATTAAAAAATTTCTGCGCTAAGTGCAAAGTATGTTATTTATTTATATTGCAATTATGTTACATGTATCAATTGATTCATGCCAAAGAAGAGGCGATTCGATTCGAACATTATTCGATTTTCTGCACGAAAAAACATGTCATGATAATTGAAAAGAAACGCGCAACGATTCCCAATCATCTCCCTCGAGCGATCGTTATTCGAGGAGCGCAGGCGAGATAGCGGGGATAAATCCGTCGTATTTGTCGAAGTAATAGAGCGGCGGTAATCTAGTTAGAAATATTCGATCCGCCACCGTATAAACAACACCGGTCGGTCAATCGTACCGTACAATTGAAATCGCGCCGCGAGCGATTTACTTTAGCTTTGATTTTAGGGGCAGAGAAAACACGGTGCCGTACGACGGTTCGTACCGCATTCGCAACCCCCTTCGGATCCCCGCGTCTTTTCTCCCACGGGAGAATCCGCGGTATCGCATCTCGAATTACAAAGCTACGCGTGAAGAAACTTAACACCGCTATCGACCGCCAAAACGTAATCCTCTTGCACGCTCGCTTGAAGAACACTTTAAAGGCGAGTCGATGCTACAATTCTCATTTACGATTGACGTCATTAAAATTAAAATTCTTCCGTTGATGCAAAGTGTAAGTGAAAGTTTGTTAATCCTTTTCACCAAAAATAACGCAAATGATATGCTTGCGATGTTATATTGCCTAAGTAAATTTGATCAAGCTTAATCAATCATTCCCAAGTTAACTCGCGCCTCTACGCATCGTATCAGATTAATGATGAAATTTAAACCTCGCTCTTTGCGAGGGTTGTAATTGCGTGGGCTAAGTTGCAAAAATTATTCGTGTACCTTCTCTCGCCGTTGTCATAATCGCTGACGTAGGTAGATATGGATGGATTACGCACAGCTAATTTTAATTTTCACCCAAGAATAGACACTTACGTATTTGTGTTTCAATGTTTTATTAATTATTCAGTAACAGGCACATCAGTTTGCGCTAAGTATAATTAATATATACTATGAAAATGGTGAATCGTGGTGAATCACAAATAAGATGAGAAATCTCGAACGGTGGTGAGTATGGATAAACCGGCTATGTACGATAAATGAAAGGAAAGGAGAGATTCGCTATTAGTTTACAATTTAAAAAATCTTACGCTTAAATGGGTGGTCTTTATCTTAATTAAGTGGCTGTCACCAAGTATTACTGAATAATACTTCATTATCAAGATGTAATGTAAACTTAACATAATTCCATACTGACGATACGCTCGGTTCACGTCGCATTAACAACGCAATTATTAATTATGCATATACATATATATACACGTGTAGATATCACTTCTCTCTCAGATATGTACAATGCTCATTTGCTTCTTTACGAAAATATCTAGAAAATACGCAGAACACACACATACGTAAATCCGATTACGATTTTAGAAACGAAGATGCGGCTTATTCTTGATCATATGCCTGTAAAGATAGAGTTTATTTTGGATTATAAATAATAATACGCCCACATACATGTTAATCAAGAAAAATCTTTATTTATAAGACAGCTACACGATTTCATTAGAAATTTAAAAAAATAACAAATTATACATTAGAAAGATGTAACAAGAAATTAAATTATTATAAGGTACTCACTTGTCAAGATGTTCCCAGAATACCATTAACGCTGCTCTGTCCAAGTGCCTCTTTGTCCGGCTCAATTCGATCACTGTGACAGCCCAACGTGATACATTCGTGTCCAACCTCATCTCATCGTATTTCAAGTGAAATGCACATACTGTAAGGTAGAAGAAAGATTGTAATGACTTGCATTCGAAATACAATACCAAGCAAAAAGACAAACTAAACAGCAATGTAAAAATTACATTTTCTTTATTCTGATAAACATAAAGCTTACAAAGTATTACATTTAATGTAACCCTTGCAATGTAATAAAGTAAAGATATTCAATAATAAAGAACAATATTTAATCCAACTTGTTTATTATAACTCATTCATAATTTCATATAAAGAGAACAAAACATAAAATTTTATATAGAATAAAAAGATATATAAAAGAAAAATCTAATAATTTACATGCATTAAAATAATGAGATAAAAATTGACGTTTTTACTGAAAAGACACGTACTTTTTGAAAAGATCTCCACTGGGTTGCCATCGAACGGCCAGCCTTTGAATTGCCACGCCGGTCCCATGACGAACACAGCGACGACCCTCTCCCAGTCGGCGTTGGTCAACTTCTGCGGATTGTCGACCACTCGGTAGGGTACGGTCAAACCACCTTCCTTGCGACGCTGTAGAAGCACTTCATTCTCTCGCTTGCAACCTTGTGTTCGTTTGTCTTCGTTGCTGATGTATTTCAAATCTTGCAGAATGTCCTTAGCATTATACATGGTGATAAGAGATGTGTTGGCGCTAGGAATGATAATGATGGGTGTTCGGCTAGGTCGCTTGTTCTGCGCGGCTTGCTGCGGCGTTAACTTAGCGGCGGAGGTTGGCAGCAGACCCGAGTTCGGCGCGGCGGACGGATTGGTGGGTGGTTTCCTCACGGTGGGATTCGTGCCCTCGGTCACGGATTTCAGTGTCATGCCGTGATAAGTGCCCATAGTGTCGATCTTGAAGCCTTCAGTTTCTTCCTTCTGACGAATAAAGCGCTCTTGATCGTAACGATTGTAGACGGCCGGCTGTGGCAACGGTCGCATGGGTGTCGAGCGCGGCGTCACCATAGGCGTGGGCACGGCCGGACCCTTCTGCCGACCCTCTTCCCGCGCTTTGATACTCTGCAGAATCGCAAAAATATTCTTCGCAAATATCTTACCGCTACTTTGCAAGATGGTAGCACGCGTCCGCCACTGACGTTCGCGCGATACGATGTCCTTCGTATCGTCCACATCCATGTCAAGGATCACACGTAGATCCGAACCCATGCCGATGTCGTCGTTTTCTTTGATTGTGGTGCGCTTCTTTGCCAGACGTTTCGCCTTGATCGCGGCGATCTTTTCCACCGACATCGCCTCTGACAGCGATTTGATGTTGTCAACAGTGACCGATGCTTCCTTGGGAGCATCTAAACGGGCTGCCAGTTGCTCTTTTACCTTTTGCACGTGAGTCTCCTCAAAGCGAGGTTTCTTCGATGAGCCACTCTCCAAGCCATCTTCGGCGGCACGTTTTACTTGTGTCGGAATTTCTAAGGGTGCTGACTTGTCTATGGCGGCTGATGTGGCAGTTTCGCCGTTGAGATAGGCCAGCAAGTCCTTTCTGTCAGGCCGACGCACGACAGGTATGTTTTCTGCGGCTGCTTGTCGCACATATACTGGATGTGTGAGTTGAACATGTTTGAGCAAGAATAAAAGACACTCGAGAGTATAATATTCCTTAGGTGTGCCTTCCTTTCCAGATCTGAAATAAAAACAGAAAAAAATGTATAAGTACTTCTTAAAGAAAAAGAACATGCTTATATAAGATACTTCTATTATTAATATTTATAACTTTTATGTTTCTTTAAATAAAATATATATTATGCAAATTTGTTTCAAATATGAATTGTTTTATATAAATTTAATTTACAAATTTAGAGACAAATATTGAAATTGCAATTTTGATCTTAAATGTGAGAAAACAGATAAACAAGTATATCCAACATTAAATAAAATCAACTTAATTATTTGTAAGATTTACACGGTAACTAATGTTTTATCTATAAATAGCAGTCTTTAATGTAACTCTAAAATAAATCGTTTTACAAAATTGTTTACAAACACAACAATGAGAAAATTTAGTTAAACTATTTAGTTTAGCACAATTCAAATCAAACATCACAGAATGAGTTAAAAAACTAATATACAAATTGAAAAAAAAATTGATTAAAATTATAAGAAATATTGTAAATAATACAAATTTTACAAGAGTTTGAATATTCTTCTTTTAAAATGATTATAAAATTGAAGAAAAAATAGGGAAAAATTTGAAGGAAGAAAATTGCATCAATACAATAAACACGTATGTTTTGGATAAAACTTCTAACACTCTCAGTTTTCTTATTTCTCATATACAATTGTATATAATATGTACATTTATTTATCAATTCATCAAACTCTTGTCATTACCTTCCCTCACTGTCTGCCTTTAAAGGTGAAACAGATTGCAATTACAAAATACTATATGATGTAAGTGGAACGAACACTCACCCATAAGTCAAATAATTAGTCTTGACATTCTTTGGCCAGGAAAACTCGCCAAATATGATCTGATTCTCGCGTTCGATTATCTCCTTTTTATTAACATTATACTGCCGCAACAAACTCAGTGGATCCGCCATGTTTCCAAACTGATGTGTCTCACGTATTCTGCCTTGCAGCCATAGACATAGGAAATATAGGGACGGAGTGTAAGGCCGAATTCCCACTAAGGCTGAATTCCCACTGAGTGCGTCGCGTCACGCGTCACCAATCAAAACACACATTTCATATATGTTGTATAATATGTATTATACAACACATATAAAATATGTGTTTTGATTGGATGACGCGTGACGCGACGCGCTCAGTGGAAATTCGGCCTAAGCGCGTCACGCGTCGCGTTATCCGCCGCGTCACGAATTAACCAATCAAAACATCCCATTTTATCGCATCATGTGCCGCGCGACTCCTTGCGCGACGCATCGGTTCAGTTGCTTGACATTCTAGAGATAAAAGATTCTTTCTTTGTACGAGATCTCAGATCGCGCGCATTCGTTATGAGATAGGTCACAGAAAATGTAACAATATTCGTAAGTTTTAAATTATTATTTAATACTATTATTAAATAATTATTGGCTTAGTTTACATCGATTGTTTAGTACGCGTACCAAGTACTAAATCTGCTTCTTCGATAGATATAAATCGTTTAGTATAAAATCTATACCAATCAAAGAAGCAGATTTAGTACTTGGTACGCGTACTACACAATCGGTGTAAACTAAGCCATTATTCTCTACTATTATCTTTTGTCTCCTTACGGCAACGCGTTCAGTTACGGCACTATAAAACGTGAGTATTCTCACGTCTGCTCACGTCTTCGCCATTTTTGTTCCATTCCTCCACTTCTTGCCTTCTCGCCTCTGTCGCTGAGCTGAAAAGTTTATGATGATTAGGTTATGGCTTCTAAGCTGCTTGAACTCTGTGTTTACGTGTATTTTGATTATCCGACTGTGAACAAAAAAAGATACAAAATGCCTTGTTGCGTTGCGGTCAATTGTACCAATAGAACAGAAAAAGGCGCTCGATTATTTTTGTTTCCTGCGGATGATGTTCGTCGACAGCAATGAATACGTAATTTTCGCAGAGAGTCTTAGACACCAACCAAATCATCGTGCCTCTGTGAAGTAAGTTTATTCTCTTAAATTTCCAATTTACGTAGCTTTTTCTGTTTGTTTAGAATCATAGATTGTTTTTTTAAGTGTAGTTTAGATTTGTCACCGTTTGAAATTACATAAATATGAATAACTGTAATCAATAAGGATATTTATCTTATAAGCAGTTTTTTTATTTCAAAAACATTTTGAAGAATCATAGTTTGAGACTGATTCACACAGTTCGAGCAGATAATTGGCGAAAATTAAAACCAAACGCCATACCAACATTTTTCGATATACCGGATCCACCTGCAATGAATAAAAATAAAACAGATGAACCAAATACAAATGCCACTGCTGAGAAAAACGTAAGTTTTTATGATACATTACAGTAAGGTAAAAGAAATAATATATTAATTTGTTTGTTTATTTATTCATTTATTTATTATTAATATATTTATGGACGTGACTAATACTCTTGTACACATTGTACGAGTGATTAAATATAAACATAAGACATTAATAAAAAAATTTACGTCTTTCTTAGCAGTGGCATTTGTATTTAGTTTATCTGTTTCATTTTTATTCGTTGCAGGTGGATCAGGTATATCGAAAAGTGTTGGTATGGTGTTTGGTTTTAATTTTCGCCAATTATCTGCTCGATTAGTCTCAAACTGTGATTCTTCAAAATGTTTCTGAAATAAAAACTGCTTATAAGACAAATGTCCTTATTGATTACAGTTATTCATATTTATGTAATTTCAAACGGTGACAAATCTAAACTACATTTAAAAAAACGACCCATGATTCTAAACAAACAGAAAAAGCTACGTCAATTGGAAATTTAAAAGAATAAACTTACTTCACAGAGGCACAATGATTTGGTTGGTGTCCAAGACTCTCTGCGGAGATTACGTATCTATTGCTGTCGACGAACATTATCCGCAGAAAATGCAAATACTCGAACACCTTTTTCTGTTCTATTGGTACAATTGACCGCAACGCAGCAAAGCATTTATCTTTTTTTTGTTCACAGTCGGATAATCAAAATACACGTAAACACAGAGTTCGAGCAGCTTAGAAATCATAACCTAATCATCATAACTTGTCAGCTCAGCGACAGAAGCGTGAGGGCAAAGAGTGGGGGAATGGAACAGAAATGGCGGAGACCTGAGCAGACGGTAGAATACCCAAGATCTATAGAGAGAAGGTTACCTCCATAGACATATATAACTAGACCCAGCATGCATGCTTGGCAGAACGGACAAAAAGGCAAAACATAGGGGAAGGTTTCTTTCTTTGTCTGCGCAGGTAGGATGCGCAGTCGCTATTGACAACGAGCGTGACAGCCATGTGACGGCCGTTAGGCTTCTTCTAATATCCACACGCACTGCACATCTTTATTTTTTAACATATTTATATATATGATATAATAATAGGGTATAATGTTCGTACACATAACACGTAACT